CAGGTTTTCAGGGGTGTTTTGCTTTTCCTCGGGTTTATGGGAAAGGTTTCCATTGCACTCGGTGCACCTATCTGGACCTCACTGTCAATGTCGTCATGCCACTATACGGCCTTTGAGAGTCATGCTCACTGCATCTGCTTTTGGGGGAAGCCAGTGCCATGTTGTATCACATGAGCTTTACCTCGGACTCGCCTCTGTCTCTATTTGCTGATGTCATGCAAAAGAAGTGCCGGGATGCAGCAGTCCCTGGGCTTTGGAGACCCTGGCAGGGCACTTCTTCGCCCAGGGAGGAGGGAGGCAGTGGTCTCATGGCTCACGGAATTTTCAGCAGGCACCAGGCCTTGAGGCCCATTGGGTATTTTTGTTTCCCAGTGAGGCCCTTTCTGCCTCTCTCCAGTGTAATCTCATTCCTGCTTATGTGGTGGAATCCAAAATCAGATCTGAAAGAGTCCTGAGAACCCACTGGGTGCCCTCAATGTCCTCTTCCACCGGGAGCTGCAGTAGAAGACTGCTTAGGGAGGTCCCGAGGACAGGAGTTTCATGGGTTTTACCCTGGGTCTCCAGCACACCCCTTTCCCAGGCCTCTGCAAATACTCTGCTTTCACCGCCGCCAGTTTTTTTTTTTTTTTTTTTTTTTTTTTTTGAGACGGAGTCTTGCTCTGTCGCTAGGCCGGAGTGCAGTGATGCAATCTCGGCTCACTGCAACCTCTGCCTCATGGGTTCAAGCAATTTTTCCACCTCAGCCTCCTGAGTAGCTGGGACCACAGGCATGTGCCACCATGCCCGGCTAATGTTTGTATTTTTAGTAGAGATGGGGTTTCACCATGTTGGCCAGGACGGTCTCGCTTGACCACCTGATCTGCCCACCTCAGCCTCCCAAAGCGCTGGGATTACAGGCGTGAGCCACCGTGCCCAGCCCACCGACACCATTTTTTAAAGGGGTCATAGACTGGCTTCCCAGAGTAAGGCGCTAGTCAGCCTCGCCAGTTTACATGCTCGAGGCACGATCCACTCCTCAGTTCATAGTGATGGCCACTGTTGCCCGGAATGGGTTCCTGAGATTTTGCAAATTAGAAGCACCCTGTGGCAGTGCGTCAGGGTCCGGGCTCAGGCCACTCCTCACCACGACGGTCACAGGATAGTACCTGGAGGCCAGGATTTGTGGAGGGTCGACCAGGTGGAGGGAGCACCTGGGAAGCAAGGCAGAATCCCAGCCTCAGCCCTACGCGGACAGGGTACAGGTGAGTCTCCCCGAATGTCGTGCCCTGGTCATCTCGAGGATACGTCTGCCTGTGTGCTGGTGGGTTGCTCTCTCACTTGAGGGTCGTAGTGGTGAGAAGAAACCCGCAGCTTTAGGGTCTGCTTTGGCGTTGGTGTTACTGTGTTGCTGCTCTCTGTGTGTGCACGTGTGTCTCTCTTCTCTCTTCTTTCCAGCTCTCTCTGTGCATCTGTGTGTGTGCATGTGAGTTTGGACTCATGTGCGAGGCAGTTTCTTGAATGTCGGCCTTTCTTTTGGTGAGCCTCTCCTGTGTCTTGGCCTGGATCCGTTAGCCAGTTGTCAGTCTTTTTTTTAGCAGTTCTATTTTGGGTTTGTGAATGTCTGGAGAAGGTGGGGATCTTTGCCGACTCCTTAAGGATTTAAATCAGCTCACCATCCTCAGAGGCCTCAGGCCTCTTCTCTAGGATAAACGCTACCACACAGTAGCCAAGGATAAAAGCCTCACACAAAGCTCACTGTCCATCTGCGGGAGGGGTGCAGAGAAACCTCAGTGAAGATGGTTTGCCTTGCTCTCTCTTGCATCTCTTTGAGAAATCTAACCACAGGGCAATACAAGGTATGAAGAGGACGAGATCTGGACAATGTAAGGATCTGAGTGTGCAGGCTGTCTTTCCCATATCATTAAATATAATCTAGTCAGTGTTTTGCAGACAGCTGGCATTTGTGTTACAGATCCCCAACCTGGGTGGTGCAGGGTTCTGAAAGACATGCTTCAAGTAAGTGGGACTAGAAAACTCTCAGAGGGAGCAACAGGAATTGGAAATTCCAGGATGATCCAGAGGTTTGCTTTGTTTCCTCTGGTCTTCAGGTCTCATCTCTGCCGTGTGATCCAGCTGCAGCTCTGTTAAGTCTCTACAGTGATTCATTCAAAATACAAATTCAGGGAGGAATGTCCATCATCAAATGTTCAAGCTTGCAGTGGGTTGGGGAGGGTAGCAGGTACTGAGCTCAATTTCCTTGGAGGTGGGAGGTGGGCATTAGGCTTTGAGGAGATTTGTAGGCCCAAATTACATCTGTGCAAACTTCAAATGTATCCAAAACAGAAGAATTGGAAAAGAAGCTCCCCAATGCTTTTCTAGGCTTCCAGGGTGTTCTGGTGTCTTAGCTGTGGATCTCCCAATACCAGCAGATCACAAGACCACAGAGACCTAGTTTCATGAAAAAAAAAAAAAAAAAAAGGGGATTTCTTTTAAAGTAAAAACACCTCATTGCATCCAATGTTTATTTATTTGGTAGAAATACTTAGAGGAAGAAGAAAATCTAATGTATAAGAAACATCCAAAAACCTTTGGGCTAGGTCAAGATTCACAAATAAACCACCATATTGGTTTCCATTTTTCTCTTTCTGGAAAGGAAAACATCTATGTACATACAAACTACAAAATAGGTAATTTTTAAAATTGTGAAAACAAAATAATTCAATAAAATTTGTTTCATAAATTGCAAAACTGTTCAAAATGGAATAACATGGAGAAACTATTTAATTTTTAATAATATTTAAATAACTCCCTTTGCAATAAAAAATGTGTCTCTCAATTCCAAACTCAAAAGTTTTATTTTGTCATTTTGAGCGGTAAATATTAGAAACAGTGAAGAAGACAAAAACCCCAAACTGTTGTATGCTTGAAGAACAAAGAGGATTGCTATAGAATTACATTTTAGTAATTTACCTTTAAAAGAAATATTTATAGTAAATATTCATTGCTTTTTACTCCAAGTGAATCTTTTTAGACATTTTTTCTTTTAAATTAGTTATAATGAATTTAAACCAATAGGGAAATTGAGGAAAAAATAGATCATACTTATAAACAACAATAGGAACTCTGTACAATTTGAATGGCTAAAACGTACAATGTTGTTAATTGATTGATTAGCCATCAATATGGGTGACTGAGGACTGTATTTTCCATATTTTTCCACTCTCTGTTTGGCTCAAGGTATTTGAAATACCAACTAATAATGGCCATGACACCCAGAAAAAATGAGATATACAATACTTGTTGGCATTTAATGTTTAAAGATAGTAGGGAACATCTGTCTGGTATTATCTTTATATCTCTAAAACATTTATTATATTATGGGATATAACAATGGAGGAAAGTTTGGCCAGGAAAATCTTAATGACAATTTTGTTTGCCAGAATCTCCTTAGCAGCCCCTCAGCCAAGACATAAAGGAACATTTCCGTCTACTGGATCCCATCTTACATATGTTCTATCACATAACTTCTGGTAAGATGAGAAACCTCTCACATTTTACAGAAAAACGTTTAGGAATGCTTTCTGTGAAGCTTTTGATAGTCCATTTCACCAAACCTAAATCGTAATTTTCCTGACTTATTCATTTTAGTCATCACACTTCTTATGTGATTGCAGGTTACCTGTGTGTCACTTAACACAGATCCTATCATTGAGAGTTTTTTGTAAGCCAGTTCACTCTTTCTTTTCCTCTGTGTCTTTCATAGACAGCTCACTACCCTTTCTCTCATAGACTGCTCCTTCAGGATGGTAGCAGTGTCTTACCTTTGACCCAATAGCTCTTTGCATGTATATATTTTTATTGATTAACTTGGCTTCCTTTCCTCATTCATCTTTATCTTGTCTGTGGAAAATTTACTGATCAATTTGTTCTTGGATCAATTATTAATCAAGAGACAATGTCTTAGTTGAAATTTTAAAAATGACTTAGACATTGTATACTCTCATATTTTTCCTATAAAATTATTAAGAGCCTTTTAAATAATATCATAATTAATTCTATGTTATACTCAACATACTGATATTATTTTTTTCCAATTAAGCACTCACTTTTCTCTACAAATATGGGAAACTTTCTATGCTGCTTATAAAAAGTTAATATAATACACTCTCTAAGTGATTTATTTCTTGTATAATTACATATTTTTATTTTTACCTTATAAAGACCTTTACTTTCATTAGTTTATCCCAAGTAGATTTTATATCCCTGTGTTTTTATCATTGTGTTCACAATCATTTATGTGTGTAATTGTTTAAAAAATTCCTTCTAATGATGATTTTTCCACTCTTAATGAGACAGGAATAAAATAATTTAACTGTCACACATTTATTTAGTACACATATATTCAGCACCTATTTGGTGCTAGCAGACTTCATGTTTTCATGGATATTGTGTATTTGTATTACAGAGGCAGATAGCCAAATTGTCAGTTAAATATTGGATAAGTTGAAGCACATGGTGTCTTGAGACTGTGTGCGTGGATCATTAATTCTAGTCTTGGGAGTCATGGAAGAAAATCTTGAAGAAATGTATTTTTTAAATGAGTACCAAAGAACACATACAGATTTATATTGTGTTCACTTAGCTGAATCTTAATTATCTTTCCAAGATCCCTTCCCCAGCATTGTTCTGGATTATGGATGGCTGCAAGATACATATACATGTGATTTGGCAGGAAGAAGTGAAAGAGGGGTGATAGCATTTTATTTTTTGAAGGTTAATGAAGGGTGTCCAGCACTGTGGCAGTGTTGGCTTATCTTGTTGGCATGGGTAAACCTGCAACCTGCAGTTCCTCTCTCTCCTCCTGGGTTTTCACTCAAAGGTTCTCCAGATTCTAGGCCTGGTGTATGAGCAGGGAGACAGCTTCTACTGGCATTAGAAGCTGATAGTAGAACCTCGAGATTGATGAAGATTCCAGCTCATACTCATGGTTCTAGTTTCTTATTGCTCTCCTTTATATTCAGCTTCCCGTTCTGTCTGATGGCCAAGATCATCCATACCTCTTCAGTTATGGAGACAGTAACCTGCATAGACTTCTTGACCACCTTCCATACTTACTAAGAGTTGGATTCCCTGTAGTAAGTACCTTATTCCATATTATGTGTCATAGTTTTGCTTCTCTCATTGAACCCTTAGTGATGTAGAGAGGTTTTTTTTTTAATGGGTGTCTTTAGATTACAGATAGTGTGAAATGAGGGTGACAGAAGTTGAGACCGAAGAGGTAAATATGATATAGGTAATCAAACACCTCATATTTCATGATAAATTTGTATAAATTTTGTACAAGGAGAAAGTGATTATTTCCATTATAATGCTCAGGAGAAGGAAGTTAGAAGTGGGTAAATTTGCAGGTAAGTGTCAAGCATTTGGAAGAGTGCATATCTATTTTCCCAATGAGGTAGAAGGTAATAATTAGTGGCAATTTTTTTCAGAGAAACAACATAGAAGTGGGACTGTGTAATTTTGTTTTAGATAGAACTATGTTTAAAGTATTTTCTAGTATAAAGTAGGAAATGATTAAATTAGATTTAAGGTAACATAATAAGGACTATGCTGTGACTGACTTAGGTTTACAATAACTATTAAATTAATTATCACAGTGTCTGGTACATAGTAAGTTCTCAAAAAATGTTAACATTATTAATATATTGGCAACTGATCTGTGTTAACATATTGTTACAGTGATAAAATAATAATCACATTAAGCAGTTCCCACTGAGAAGTAGAGAAATTCTAAACACTAGGCCAATCCACGTTTACAAATCCTGTCTATATATTTTACGTTCTTTGATTTTCCTTGTTTCCTTAATGTCTACTGAATCAATCGAGATTCAGGTAACAGAAAGTGCTCTAGGGATGCTAAGTAGAAAAGTATTTTTAAAGGGGCTTAATTGATTTCAAAATCATCAGAATTCTTAAAGTAAAAGTCAAGGGGTCAGCACTCCGATTCTGATTTCAATTTTAGTGTAAGTGCTGCCGAAGTGAGCACTCTGCTTCTGATTTAAAGGGCAAATGCTACTATAGCTGTAACTCAGAGATCAGAAACAGGTTATTATCCTGACTGTCACCCCATTTGATATTACAACTTCCCCATACCCATGAATCTGGTCAGATGAAGAAGAAGATGGAATCCAGCTGCTGCCTGAGCCTATTTGACTAACTGTACCATCTCAGAAAAGAATAGTCTCTGCTTCCTTGACACTTCAAATTTTATGGGCATTTATCTTATTGAAATAATCTAAACTGCATTGAGAAGCCTAGGTATAATGAAGTTTAGGAAAAGCAGCTTTAGATTTTCAATTTCTATAACATTCAAGGGTTGGGGAAACAGAAGAATATAGAAGTGGATGCCAACTGCAGATTGACAATAACTAACATGTGAAGCATTCCTATTGCACCTGTTAGAATGCCTACATTAAAAAGCTGACAATACAAATTTTAGAGAGGATATCAAATAAGTGAAACTCACATACATGTAAGTTATCAAATATTAAATGGTACAACCAGTTTGGAAAATAGTTTCACATATTGTATAAAGTTAATAATACACTTACTATGCAACCTAGTCACTCTACTTTTGTGTATTTACCTAAGAGAAATACATTTGTTTATACATGAAGACCTCGAAATTAATTACCTTAGTAGCTTTCTTATAGTATCTAAAAACTGGAAAACCTCCTAGGTGTCTTTCAATAGCAAAGTGCATAAACACGTGGTAGAATATTAATATACTGGAATACTAATCAGCAATTAAGAAGAATTCATTACTATAACAAAGAAATGACATGGTTGGATCTCAAAAATATGATGAATGAGTTGCATAATTCCATTTATATGAAACTTTAGAAAATATAAATACAACTCATAGTTACAGACAATATATCAGTGGTTGCTTCTGTCTGAGGGCCTAGAGGAGATTGACTGGGAATGAGTAAAAGAGAGCTTTTTTGGGGGTGATAGAAATGTTCCATATCATGATTGTGTTGTTGGTTACACATGTGTATGTGTCAGTACTCATAAATACAACATTTAAAATTATATTTTTTGATATAATTTATATTTTAGTAAAGTTGTCAGAAACTGTGAATGGACTGAGATTTTATATTGCTTGCAAGGTAAAACTTTTTACTTTAAATAAAGTAAAAAGTAACTACACACACACAGTTAGTTACTACCGTCCCCTCCCCCACATGCCTGAGTATTATAGAAATTAGAAAACGAAAGCTGCTTTTCTCAAACTTACTCTCCTCCCTTCCTTCCTTCTTCCTTCCCTTTCCCTTTTCCTTTCCTTTCTTCTCTTTTCTTTCTCTTTCGACAGGTTCTCACTTTGTTGCTCAGACTGGAGTGCAGTGGCGTGATCTCAGCTTACTGCAACCTCCACCTCCCAGGCTCAAGTGATTCTCCTGCCTCAACCTCCCAAATAGCTGGAATTACAGGCTTGCACCACTATCACCCAGCTGATTTTTGTAATTTTAGTAAAAATGAGGTTTTACCGTGTTGCCCAGGCTGGTCTTGAACTCCTGACTCAAATCATCTACCCACCTCAGCCTCCCAAAGTGCTGGGATTACAGGCGTGAGTCACCATTTCCGACCTCTCAAACTTCCTTTTAGGTAGTATACTTATAGTTACTTAGTTATATGTGTAGTTGCTGAGTTACACACAAACACACACATTTTTATATATAATATACATATATTATATATAATATAAATATAAAATTATGTATGTAATATATAAACATTATCTATTATATGCATATAAAATTATGTAATCAAAAGATATCTGAGTCAGAGACAAAGACAGCTTATTACTCACAGAAAATGCATCATCTGGAGTAATGTTATTGTACCAGTTCCTTGAGTCCTAGTCCCCTCAGGGTGGTGTGCTGAAGTTCAAATCATACCTGCACATGCAGTAAGGTATATTAAAGGAAAGGAAGCCCAGAAGTAAGAACTTCTAATTGTATGTACAGCTACTGGGTAACTGAACATCCATTCCAGAGAGAGACACCTCCTCTGAACATCTCAAGGGAGGGAGACATCTCTAAACTTTACTATCTTGCAGTGTCCCCTTATATTAAAAACATTCTTAAATTGACTGTAAATACCTTTCTCAGAATATCCAGATCATGCAAAAATGTGAAATATTTATGGATAATTATTTCCCAACATAATGTTGACAGAAAAGCTGACCATAATAATTTACCTGAAACATTATGTTCTCTTAGTTCAGTAAATGTTTTTTAAAAAATATCTACAGTTTAAATATATCAAGTTGATTTTCTGCCAATTGTTTGTGCTTTATATTCAGGAAGTTCACATTGCCTAATCGCATTTCCAAATGCTACAAAAAGAAGTCTAGATTTTTGGAACTTGGGCAATTCCTTGGATCAGTCACTAATTTCCCAAAAAATCCTCTATTCAATTTACTGTATAAATGAGATTTCACCATGTTTGTTTTCAGAATTAAAAAAAAAAAACTCATCATGCATTTAAAATGAGACAATTTCTCCTTCCTTTGTGTTTATTGCTTTTTGTGGCTAACATTTTTTGATTTGTAAAGCATCATCATTAAACACCTGAAAATCCTGCAATATTGTTTCTCATATGAAAATGCTTTAATTTTGTGTATTTTGTGTATTTTGTAGTTATTCAACACTGTTTATTTAACTGAATATACGGTATGCATCTGGGCTAAAGCTTGCTTCTAAGGGCATTTCCCTTTAGAGCAGTATTGGGTAGTCAGGTCACTAGGGGCTCTTTAATTTGGAGGAGTGGTTCCTTTGGCAGCCTAAAGTAGTACAGCTTGGATAAAAGAAAATGTAGCTGGATAACCAGAATTTTTCAACAAACCAAAATTCAGAGCTCAGAAGGAAAATCACAAATGAGTAAAGAAAGATTGAAAACTTTCGAGTAACTTAACAAGTTAGTGACTTGTACCTATGGGAGTTGGAGGAAATAAGTTTTGACAACTGGTTCAGGCAAAATGTGAGTAAGGGATTTGTGATTAAATTGTGTGTCTGGGTACTGCCTAAGGAGGATGCTATCTAGGGTTGAGGAGTCAGGTATGACAGATGAATTTTAAGATTTTTTGTTCCTAATTATGTGAAAAATGATTTTGGTATTTTGATAGTAATTGCACTGAATGTATAGATTTCCTTGGGCAGTATGGTCATTTTCGTGATACTGATTCTTCTAATTCCTGGGCATGGAATGTATTTGCATTAGTTCCAGTTTTATAATTTCTATAAACTGTGTCTCTTAAAAGGCCACTAGACCCTTGTCAACATAGGTAAATTATTGATTATCTCTTTATTTGCCAGTGTTTGGAGAATCTCTTTATTGGATGGGACATCCTTGGACAAAACCATATCCAGATGAGAGGTAGAGGACAGGCATGCATGAAGGCAACTCTCCAGTAACTAGACAAAGGAAATGATTGCATGACAGATAGCACTCTCTTCCCTGGTCTGAAAGCAGGGGAGACATGCATGATCAAATCCAATGGCAAGAGTACCCACGTCCCCACAAGTGGTGAACCCCACAGATAAGACACTTCTTTGAATAGTTCTATATCGAATTGTTTATGGCATTCCTGAAGAAGAACATTTAGGAATTGCCCAGATATACCAGAATTGTTTACTAGATGCTGCTAGGAAAGTGAAAGTTAACTCTTGGAAAAGTCTAGTGCTAAAAAAGTCAAAGTTAGAAGCACCCATTTTGCATGCAGTACCTGTTACTCCCAGAACAGGGAGGATACCAAAATGAACGAAATGACCATAATGACACAAATACTAAACTAATGAGAGGGCCTCTGACCTAATGCACTTAATAAACTAACTTTAGGATTTCCAAATCTGTGCAGAAAGGCTCTCTTCTGGGTAGATAAAAATGTTATTGGTTTATTTGGTTTCAATTCCAGAGAAAATAGGCTCTAAAGCTGCCTATTGCAAAGTAATTAAGAAAGCTTCACCCTTTTCCTTAGCTAAGTGAAGATTTTACTAAACACTGAAAAATATACCCCAGAAGAACAATATATCAGATATCAGGTGATATAACTGAATTAGAGCATTTATAT